AAGATGTTGACAGTGTTGTAAGCATTGACATGTGATCACTGGCAGCAAATGAAACATTCTTTGAAAAATTGTTAAAGCTTACCATTGCATAAATTGCATTAAATGCTTAGAATTAAAAAGATACCAGATCTAGCTTTATTAGAATTAAAAAGATACCAGAGCTAGCTTGATTGAGTTATTTAACTCGGTTTGCTTTGATGTGCATGCATATTGTAATAATGCTAGATTGTGTAGATTGATTAGGTTTATGGCTTACTGCATTCATTCCAGAATGCTGGTCTTGATATTACCACATTATCCTTTTATATTTAGAGTGATGAGATGATATAGGGAAGAGTACAACTTGACACTTCAGCATTGGCACATTCATTCGTAAACTGCACACCTTGATGGAAATGTACTAGTGATAGTTTCTTTCTATATAATTGCTTGAAATCATGAAGCTAGAAAATCCTGTTTCCCTTTTTTGGAAACAAAGAAATCATAATGGGGGCAGCTTCTTATTTTGATCAGACATTCTGTTAGAATCACAGACACCTTAAAGGGCCAGACTCAAAAGTGGCTTCAAAACAGAGTTTATTAAAACAAAAGAAAAAGGACGCAGAGGCACTTAAGCGCAGTGCCACTGGTCAAAACTCAAGAAACAAACCAGACCTGGTCCAAAAGGTAAACAGAAATATAATCCATATTGATTGGATGCAAAAGGAACGAAGCAAAGAAAGCGCTCTGAGGCACAACCAAATGGCACAGTACACAAATGGTTAACATTAAGGAGGAGCCACAGGAAGAGAAGCGTTGTCAGCCGAAGTCCAGGGTTGAAGCGGGAGAAATCTGAAACAGCGCTGCTCTAGTGTCCGCAGAAGCAGTGTCTTTAGCCAAGCCAGTCCAAGTCCAGAAAAGGGAGAAGTCCACATTCACGAAAAGCCAATCCGGGTCAATAACACGGAACGATCAGGAGATCCAAATTGCATATCCAACGCTGAACACAAAACAGGCAGCTGCAAGTCTACAAGAATCCTTTTCAATACACAGCACCCAACACACGAACGCTCACCAACACCTTGCCTTCTGCAAGGACCCATCACCCCTGAACCCACTTTTATTTACAAATTGTCATCAGAAAATGAACTGACCGCCGCCCCATCATTATCCCCCACAGCTGCTCCCAGCTCTTCGCTTGAATTCCTTTGTCTTTCTCTCCAAGTCCTCCATCTCCTGTCAAGACTTAGGTCCCCCCAAGACTCAGTTGGCTCCCCAGATTGCCAGTCTTCACCCCCAGAGAACCCCATAAAGGTATCACTAGTTGTTGGCTCCTCACAAATCCAAGGTGTCTCCTTCTCCTTCACTCATTGACCCATCATCCCCAGAGAATCCCTCAAGCGACTCTTCATCTGTAGGTGCTGTATGTCCCGGATCCTCCTTCTCTGCTGCTCATCATCAGATTCCTGCTGCTGAGGAACCCTTTCCCCCCCTCTGGCACCCATACTACTGTTTGTAACATTACTCACAGGCTCTACTACAACACATTCTCAGTGTCTAATGTGGAAATGGATAAGAAAAAAGGACTCTTGCAATCTAAATAAATAACCCTAAATATCCATGTCATTTGACTTCAGTATTACTTAAAATACTGCATAGCTGCATATAAATATGCATGTGTAAACATAAATATTAGATATGTAAGCCACTTCACTATTTAAAAATAGCTTTAGTGAAGCAGCTGTGGATGACATAAGAATTGTTCTAGAAGTAGGGTGTTGCTTCTGAGGCTGTTAAATAGTGTTTAGCAGATTAGGCTTGTAAAGTTCAAGGGTCAAATGAGTGCTTACAATGCAGTTTTTACTTCATGCTGACATTCAGTTTGTAATCCAAGTTGTACTGAAAATTTCAAAACAGTTTAGTGGACATTGAATATTTGCTGCCACCCTGAGAATATTTAAGGAGAAAAGGGAAATGACTAGAGTAGGGTTGAGCAATATGTGGCCCAACAAGGGATGTCGTACTGCAACTTCCAGTATTTCTCACCATTGACTTTTGCTGGCTAAGGTTGTCGGCAATTCCAGCCCAACAACCTTTGGAGTCTTACACTTTGACTGCCCATGAACTGGAGCATATGACCAAAGTTAAGCCATGACTATGTGTTCTGTTTCATAATGTTGATGGGAGCATTTAGCAGATTTTACACCAATTATGTTGGCATCAGATGCTTTCCGTGCTACATGACGCAGTTCTATTATACTGGCATACTGGAAAGTTTATAGCAGAATGGGGAAAAATCACTATAAAAAACCTGTTTAGGTGTTTGAAACAACTTAGCATATTATATTGAAGAGCCCCAACAGAAAATAACGAGTATTCCTTGCCTAAGAAAATTCTTTAAAATTTATGGGGTTGCCATAAATTGACAGGTGACTTCAAAACACATACAAATACATAAATCATCTAGTATAACAAAAGGAAACTTGAAAATTCAGCAACACACTACAATGTTCAATTATTTTCTCACTTTTTAAACAGTTTTCTTCAGTTTAGTGCCAAACAAATCTCCAAGGAATCTCTCCTTTTAAAATATTATTGGCTTACATGTTAATGAAGTCTTATCATCCTTCCATTAAAGGAAAAGATTGTACTAACTCGTGACAAGTAGTCTTGTGGTAAGCACCATATTATCATTGTTTGTTTTTCATCCGATACATCTTTATGCAAAACTGACACAGGTTTCAAAGATGACAACACCCCTTGTCATGTAGCATTGCTCTTTTATTTTTCTAATTTATCTTGTGCTAAAAAAGATTATTTTTTTCTCATTTTCCAAATTAGCACAATCTATCTCCCTCCAGTATGCAATCAGTTTATCAGTAACATGTCTTTTGACCAGATAATGCAATTTCAATACATTCAATGATGAGAGTTTTCTTCATACAGCACTCACGATGACATTTTGGTGTCATTCTGAATGTCTTGCCTCCTTTCCGATTATACATCTACACTGTAGAATCAATGCAGCTTGACACCACTCTTAACTGCCATGACTCAGTGCCATGGTATCCTGAGAGTTATAGTTTGGTGGTACACCAGCATTCTATGGCAGAAAAAGCTAAAGACCTTGGAAAGATACAACTCCCCTGATTCCATAGCATTGAGCCATGACAGTTAAAATGGTGTCAAACTGCATTAATTCTGCCGTGCAGATGCACTCCCAAGTTTATGGAATTAGATTGGTAAACTGGTTAGAACAGGTACATACATTGAATATTTACTTGCCTGCAGTCAGGAGTTGAGATTGCATTACTACTGTCCTTCAGACTTCATTTTAACACTTTGCACTAAAGTGTCTGACAAAATAAGTGGGTAGTGCTTTTGAGACCATGGGTCAGTTCCTTGGCCTAACCACCATTTGTACCACATCATATCAGTTCAATAAGCTACTTCAGGTTTTTCTTCAGAATCTTTCTCAAAAAAGTCTGGGAGTAATATTGCATCACTAGTTGCCACCTTGAGAAGGGTTCTGGCAAAAATGGGGGGGGGGTGTGTTTCCATGTTGTGAAGAGGGCTTTCAGTGCAATTTTCAGGCAAATCTAGTACCAGTTTATAAAATTGAGGCTTTAAAGGATAGAAAGAGCTTCAGGTGCTACAAATGGGATGGGGGCAGCATTCACATTCAGGATCCAAGGCACACTTTCCCTACCTGGTGTAATACATCTGATCAGTAACACAGCCATTCTGTTTCCTTTTTACTAGCTGTTTGATTCTTTGCTTCCTTCATTTTCACATCCAATTCTCCATCCAATCTTAGTGAGCACCATCAGTTTTCACTGGCTGGTCTCTGAGTTCCTTTCTGCATTTTCTTGTGGGTTGAGATCAAGAACGGATGTCCCCATCCACAGTTAGCATGTAGGATTTCTTTCTTGTATGGGAAGCTCTTACTTCTGTCCCATAAACGTACAAACCAGAAGATTTGCTGAGAGATAACATTCTCTGTACATTCCTTATTCTTTTATGCTTCTATCTCAAGCTCTGCTGCATTCCTCCTCATAATATTCAGCAAAACAAATTTTACACCCTTGCGAACTTCAGGGTTATCATCAATTTATTGATATTGAGCTGTAAATGGACAAGCATGGGAATACTTGAATTAAAAGCCAGGAGTATTAATGTGTATTTCATGAATTTCCATTTTCACATGGAAACCCATTTAATTTAATGTGATCTTTTTTGCTTGTTGGGTTCCTTCAGCTAATTTCCAACTTATTCTGACCCTAAACCTGAGACAGTGTGACTTGCTCAGTGGGTTTTTATGGCTGGGTACAAGTTTTAAACCACTGTACCTATTTCATCCTATAGCTATTCATGAGAAGTTACCTACAAGGATGGGTAGTAATCTGATTTCTAAATGATATTGAGATTGGTGCTAATTTTAATTGTATTTTTTGTAAACAGCAAGAACACATTTTATGTATTTTAACTATATTTGCCCTTGTTAGTACTTGAATAGGAAACTGCTAACAAATACCTGGTTCTGTGAGCTACATTTCAAGGGAAGGAATCAACAAAAATATGTTCATAATTCTTGCCTTAAAAACCCTTTATGAAATTCAAGGGGTTGCCATGAGTCAATAGGTGATGTAAAAGTACATGCACATATGTACAAGTCACCTTGAGTCCCAATTTGGAAAAAAAGTGGGATATTAAAAATAATGACAACAACAAACATTTAATAAGGTTTTCTGGTTTTTGCACTGGCTGTTACATTTCCTGAAATGATTAAAGTGTTAATGATAAACTAACTTTGCTAGTTTAGGTAAGATTTAGCTATCTTTTTTCATGAACCTTGTGTACAGCACTGCTACAGAAAGTCCTTTACATAATGTATTTTAAACCATATCTAAAATTTAACATTTCTAGCATGGTAAAATTGTTCTGTAAGAAATAAAAGTGTCCCTTAGGTTTTACAAACAATAAAGGCTCTATTTTTATACTTTCTCTTATTCTTTTTGCAGGTGAAAGATCTATTTCATTCTATGTCGGTAGAATATAGTGCTCTAGAACTTGATAAGACGGGTAAGTGGCCTAGTATGTCACACAACTTTGAGAAGAAAGATACTGAGTCATTGGAAAGAATACAGAATTCTGATACATATGGATGAATATAATCCTGAAACAAGCATTTTGAGATGAATAGGAAAATACATCTTGAATTAAATGACAGGTGCTTTCAACTAGTTCTACTGCTGGCCCATTCTGGAAATTCTAGAACATTCTTTTTTACCTGTTCTATACTGAATTGGTTTACTTTGGTGGGGTTATAAGTATTTACTACACATATCATTGCATGTTTATTGAAAAGTAAATTCCACTACATTCATTGGGGCACACGGCTACACTAATGATTTTGCAGAGTGCTCATATAGAACATAGCGTATTCAGTTCACATGCCAGCTACTATGTGGGAGGACCTGGAACCAGACAGAAAAGAAAAGAAGAGTGATACAAGAAAAAGAAAACTTCCTCATAGATATCCATTTAGTAACTTAAAGCAAGGATACAGCTTAATGTGTACTGAGGTTTGTTCTGTTTGTCTTGTGTACTTTAATTTATGACATTGTTGGTATCTTTTTTCTGTATCCCTTTGCCAATTGGGTCAAAAGGCAGGCTTGAATTTTTAAAATAGGGTTACATTTGGATGAAAAGTATAGAACTGATACTGTTTCAAGTACGGAATTACCTTCATGCATGTGAAGAGTTGAAAAGACAAGTTGTCAGAACACACACCATCTTGTCTTTTGTATAAATTCCCAATGAAGTTATTAAACCCGAGGCTTACCAAAATCCACTTGAGCTGCATTTGTATATTCCTAGGCTTGGGTTTCTGTCAGTTCATAATTACAGTGTGTGTGTTAAGTAGGACTTCACTCCTAAAAGACACTGCATTGGTTAATGGTCTATTTTAGCCTTCTCAGTAAAGCATACTGCCTCATTACTACTATACTGAAATATGTTTGCAAAATCCTCAAGGCTATTATGATACTTGTAGTAGGAGTTGCTGCTTTTTTAGGACAAGGATTCTTAATTTGGGGTACTACTCTTGCTCTAAAATTTCCATGGATAGACTCCAAGGGATCAATGAAGTCTTTTTTGCATTTTTCTGGGGGATAGGAATTTTATTGCCTTTGTAGATTCTCAAAGGATTCTGTGTCCCAGAAAAAGGGTAAAAACCAATGTGTTAGAACACTGAAGGAAATTAGAACAGTCCTGTAACAGCCTAAAAGTGGACATGCTTTATTTGTCATAGGCTTTCATGGACTGCAGTGCAGTTGTTTACATTCCTTTTACAAAGTAGTCTGTGGTCTATGAACCAGGAGAACCTAAAAGAAGCACCCAACTCCTATACTCTCTCAACTGCAGTGTTGCTTCTGGCCTTTTTGAAAGTTTGGGTGGGAAAATGGTGGGAGTGTCCAGGGATGGCTGGCCCCCTGAGTAGGCATTGGTGCTTTTTCCTTTTTGTAGAACAGTCATCAACTTATCAATGGATCATATCAAATTACATATTTTGTCCATGACTTATCTGGGCAGTCAATTTATACACGAGTACAAACAGTACTTATGGTTTTGCAAGTTGCTGTCTTTGGGATTTGCTTTCTTCATGTCTGTGCCATAAGATAAAGTGTCTAAGTTGGAGGTTTTATTAAATCCAAATGCAGACAGTCTGAAGATGCTTTCCCATGGCATTTTGTGTTTTTGATATTTATATTTGGCTTTCTGCACATTTATCTTAAAAAGCATCAAGGCTTCCATTGTAATTAGGGAAATACTGGGTTGAGTCCATTTGAGTCATCTTGGTGACTGCAGTTGTTTCTGCTCCTTGATTTAGCATACCTAAATGGATTTTAAGAGAGAGTTAATCTTTATTGCATGTGTCATTTCAGTGAACATTGTCGTTACAATCATAGTGTTTCTATTTTGTCTCTAGATGAAGGACCCAGCATCCAAGAAGTATTACTAGAATTAACAGGCCAAAGGACTGTTCCCAATGTGTTTGTAAATGGAACACATGTGGGTGGATGTGACCAGACTTTTCAGGTAATCTTAATCTCTTCTTTGACATTGTAATGAGACCATTACTCTGGGCTTCTTCAATTAGTACCAGTTTTGTAACCTCTAATTATATAATGCAGTACTGAACAGTTGTAGCTTGATTATTTATCTACTACCTTGTTTCAGTATGAGGTTTCTTACTTTATATACTCATGTGTGAGTCTAGAAATTTTAGTGAAAAAAAATAATCTCTAAAAACCTGGGTTGACTTATTCAATGCAATGCACTCTATGTGGGGCTACCTTTGAAGACGGCCCGGAAACTTCAATTGGTCCAACATTTGGCAGCCAGACTACTAACAGGAGTGAACTACAGGGAGCAGTCAACCCCCCTGTTTAAGGAGCTCCATTGGTTGCCGTTCGTCTTCCGGTTCAATTCAAGGTGCAGGTTATCACCTATAAAGCCCTAAATGGTTTGGGACCTGCCTACCTTCGTGACCACATCTCCCTCTATAAACCTGCACGAACTTTTCGATCCTCTGGGGAGGCCCTTCTCTCACTTCCATCATCATCACAAGTACAACTTTGGGGAAGAGGGAGAGAGCCTTCTCTGCTGTGGCCCCTCGGCTCTGGAACTCACTGCCTGGTGAAATTAGGCAAGCTCCTACCTTAGCAGCTTTTAAGAGAAAAAAAACTAAAAACTTGGCTCTTTTAATGTGCTTTTGGCGAGTGAATATATTTCCCATATGCAGTCTGTTCTAATTACTGCTCCGTCCTCATGAGGCAATTTTCCCCCTACTCTTAAAGAAGGCCTAACCCTACTGTTCTGGTCCTTTTGTGTTCCTCCCTCAGAAACCCATTCTCCCTCAGAAACACATTCTACATATCTCATCCAGGGTTTTATCAATTTTATTCCTAGTACATTTGGCCCTCCCACTGTGTTCTGTTTCTCATGTTATTTTGAAATTGTTTATTTTATTTTGTTATTCCATGTATTTATTAATGATATTTTTGCTTTTTGTATTATACTGTAATTTTGGGCTTGGCGTCACGTTAGCCGCCCTGAGTCCCCTTTGGGGAGATGTGGTGGAGTATAAATAAAGTTTATTGTTATTTATTAATTATTATTCATGCGAGTATTGTATCTTAACTCTTATAAAAAAGAGTGGTAAAAGGTTAGAGCTTAGTCTTTACCAAGAGAACTTAAAACTTCACTCTACTCTTTACTGTGATGTATTCTTGCCTTTTTGTATGCCTAGGTAGGGAATGGCAGTGGCATTGACCAGAGGTGGTTGGCCCTCTGAGGCAGCATTGATGTTTTTCTTTCTTCTTGGGATGACCATTGGAAAAAAACCATAATTTTGGCCCCAAAATTTGCCCTTAAACATGAGTATATACAGCAAATACAGATAGTATAATTCCAGATAGCATAATTACTGGTAGAGACGTTTGTTCTGTTGATGGGCACACCATTAGCAAACCTAATCCAAAACATTTTGTACCAGCTGTAGCTGCTTCTGGATCACCCTTGAGGTTACAAGTGTCTGAGTCATTGTAGCCAAGTTATCCTTATTCAAGAACTTCTACACTTGGGGTACTTGCCTCTGTCAGTAAAAAAAAAACCACTCTGAACCATTGATATGATTCAAATTACTAGCAAAAAAGATTGATTCAGAACTATGCTTTAGATTTCACACCTGGTGTTTTCAGCCGGGGTAGGACCCCACCCACTAGGATTCAGATTCTGTTTACTCATCATTACATGACACACTGTTCCAGAATCTGCACAGTCACCTCTCTTTCTGATGTAAAAGAGAAATACTGTTGCATGTTGACAAACACTGATAGTATTTTACTCTAGATATCTTGAAAATGGTTCACCTTCATAATGTTCATAGTATTAATATAAATATTAAATAATATTGGGAATATGAACAGCCTTTCCAATTCAGTTAGGTGCCCAGGACTTCCAGTAATGTGGAAAAAATATAATTAAATAAAAATATAATTTAATTATAATAAATATAATTAAAAAAATATAATGTTTTGGATTAGGTTTGCTAATGGTGTTTTGTTTTACCTTAGAACAGGCCTTCACAATTTTGGCCCTCCAGGTGGTTTGGACTTCAGCTTCCAGAATTCCTGACCATTGCACAAGCTCGCTAGGGCTTCTGGGAGTTGAAGGCAGAAACACCTGGAGGGCTACAGGTTGAAAAGGCCTGCCTGAAAGAGGGAAACTCTCTAGGAATCTCTTCAGCATGACTGTGGTCGACTTCTGGCCAGAAGGGACCATAGAGTTACACTGGAGAATCAGGAGATTCCTAAAGAGAACATTTTAAATGAAATCAGTGAATAATCATATCTGAAAAAGTCATATCCCCAAATGTGGAGGGCCAGTTGTACATTAGAACTTTGTTACGCCTTTAATAGAAGTTACCAGGGATCTCAAAAGCAATTGTTGAAGTCAACTCTCTAGAACCAGCATAGTGGGTAGAATCACAGTGTTCCCAGTACAATTGATACTATAGTCAATGGTATCAAAAGCTACTGATGGATCAAGCAATAATAGCACATTCATTTGTTTGTCTCAATAATTGTCATCTATCAGAGCAACAAAAGATTATTGAAAACAGGAAGAACAGGTGCAGAGCTCAGAGCTAGACAGTAAGCAGTCTTTCTCCTGTATTATCTTGTCTATGCCAAAGCATCCTCCAATCTTCTGAAGATAATGCTAGGATGTAAACAAGGCCTTAGGGGGAAAACCAAATTAATCCAATTAGTTCCCCTTCCATTTGCAGAGGTAGGTTTTTGAGCACAAACATTTATGTGAGTAGAAGAGTATTATTTGCAACCTTTTGCCATAGGGTTGATTTTGGAGAATTAGTAAAACATTCTGATCTTTGCATCTTGTCCTCTTATCACAGGCTTACCAGAGTGGCTTACTGCAGAGCCTTTTAGGGGATGGAAAGGGTGAAGAGCTGGAAAGCTTTGACTATGACCTGATTATTATTGGTGGAGGTTCTGGTGGACTCGCATGTTCCAAGGTAAGTAATCTGTACATCATTGCTGAGAACACCGTGCAGTTAATGCAGTGCGTCTAAGTGTTCATTCGATTTATCATTTGGTAATTTTGGTTCACATCCCAGCAGTGAAACCCATTCAGTAACCTTGGGCAAGTCACACATTCTGAGCCTCAGAAGAAGGCAGTAGCAAAACTCTTGCCAAGAAAACTCTATGAAGGGCTGCCAGAGATCGGAAATGACTTGTAGGCATACAACAGCCATCTGAGCAAAGCCATAGAAAAAGCATCTTGCTTAATCTTTTGTTTTTAAAACAAAAAGGGCTGCAAAAGCTTGGGAAAAGTTGATGTTGCCTCTGAGAGATTTGAATTCTAGCCTAGTCTTGTAAATTAGCATGGAAGTAGGCTTGGTTGACTATAGTTGAATTTACTTTTCAGCAAGCATGCAGAGCTGAGCTGTCTCAAGAAGTGATTTTCTAAATTTAAAAAAATAATTGTTTGTAGTGCCCTAGAAATATTTTTACTCCCTCTGAATTATTTTTCATGGTTAGGTCATATTATAAAACTCCATTTACCATATCAAATAAACATTTTGTTGTTGAGTTAAGTTGGCAAAACCCCTGGGAAAACAACTTTTATCATCAGCAAAACAATTAAAAATGTTCCAGGTTTATCATTTAAGGAAATATATTCTTTCATGTTTGAAATTATTAGATAATATAATTAGATAATATAGTGAGATGGCCAAAAGCGAGGAGGAGATGAGGAGCCTTCTAATCAAGGTGAAAGAAGAAAGCGCAAAAGCTGGGTTGCAGCTAAACGCCAAAAAAACCAAGATTATGGCAACAAGAATGATTGACAACTGGAAATAGAGGGAGAAAATGTGGAGGCCGTGACAGACTTTGTATTTCTAGGTGCAAAGATTACTGCAGATGCAGATGTGGCCAGGAAATCAGAAGACGCTTACTTCTTGGGAGGAGAGCAATGTCCAATCTCGATAAAATAGTAAAGAGTAGAGACATCACACTGGCAACGAAGATCCGCATAGTCAAAGCCATGGTATTCCCTGTAGTAACCTACGGATGTGAGAGCTGGACCTTAGGGAAGGCTGAGCGAAGGAAGATAGATGCTTTTGAACTGTGGTGTTGGAGGAAAGTTCTGAGAGTGCCTTGGACTGCGAGAAGATCCAACCAGTCCATCCTCCAGGAAATAAAGCCCGACTGCTCACTGGAGGGAAGGATACTAGAGACAAAGTTGAAGTACTTTGGCCACATCATGAGGAGACAGGAAAGCCTAGAGAAGACAATTATGCTGGGGAAAGTGGAAGGCAAAAGGAAGAGGGGCCGACCAAGGGCAAGATGGATGGATGGCATCCTTGAAGTGACTGGACTGACCTTGAGGGAGCTGGGGGTGGTGACGGCCAACAGGGAGCTCTGGCGTGGGCTGGTCCATGAGGTCATGAAGAGTCAGAGACGACTGAACGAATTAACAACATAGTGAGAGGGAGAGCATAATACAAGTAGAAAAGAGACCTGGAAATAAGAGCAATAGCAGTTTAGCAAGTAAATAGCTAGGATGTAGTAGCATCTTTACTTTATTTTATTGTTAAATCTAAACTCCAGGCTGCTAAAGTTCAAATAAAACAGAATGAAAGATAAATAAATCAAAACACGTATGTAAAATGGAAATCACAGCAATTAAACACCTTCAATAGTAAACTAGCTTAGATATCAAAGACCTGTCTTAATTTTTAAAATCTTCCCTTTCTAGTAAACCAATGAAAGAAGAGCCAGCCAGGCAGTTCCATAGGCTTGGAGTGACTACCAAAAAAGTCCTTCCTTGCACCTCTCTATCAGTGGTCCCCAAGTCATGTCAAATGTAAAAATGTGTGTTTGATAAATTGAGTTGGCATTTGAGCCTGTGCCTGCTTTTTTGTCACAAATGATACCTTTGCCACCCCTTAAGGCAAGGGTTATCTCCAGTCCATTGACAACTTCAGTTTTATGCTATTTATTAATTAAGTGCATTTTCCTGGGGATGGGATAGAACATTTTCCTCAGGTATTTAAAGAGGTCCATGCTCTTCCTCCAGGTTAAGTACTACTGTTTAAAATATGATACATTTCATGAATGCATTTCTAAATAGTTCATTGGAAAGCAATTTGTCTTACATCTATATGATTTCTTCTTTCCAGGAAGCTGCAACTTTAGGAAAGAAAGTCATGGTACTAGACTATGTTGTACCAACACCAATTGGTACTACATGGGGTAAGTTTTTAATCAGTTCCCCTATTATTGCTTATTAAATTTGCTTACATTATCTTTTTATTCATGTTTCTTGCTGTCTTGCTGTGTGTGGTTAGTTCTTGAATAGATGCTTGATGAGAAAATATTTGTGATCAATATAATTCCCAACATAGATAAGTTGCGACAGAACCTTCCTCCTTCTCCCCTCTCTTCCTCCTTCAAACTGGTTCTGAGGGCTTCTCAGCCAACTGGAACCAATTTTAGGGATATACCGGAGATTGTAGTGGAAAAAGCAACTTGCTCGTTTTTTTATTACACTGTAGTGACTCATAGTTAGTAATTTTATGTGAAATGGCCGTTCTCTGTAAACACGTTTTCACTGTCTATATTAAAATTGTATGAGATTTCAATTCAATGTATGATGCAGAATGTGCATTTCGTTATGAGAAATGGTGTGGGGAACCATTTGAAACAGACTTTTAGACAGCATGGAGGGAAGAGGAAAGCCTGATTTGCTTAGCACAACTTTGGATTTAAGCAGTTGTGATGCTTTCTACTATGTACATAGAATTGCAGAATTTAAAATAATCTTAGCTGTTACAAAGTCAAACCTGCCAATGCATTAAAGCACTGCTGCAGCATTCCTGATAGAGGCAGTGAAGCCACTTTCTTGGAAAGTTCACCTTCTTTGGCTATCTATTCTAGTCTCGATAAGTTTGTACCATATGCAAAATTAAACACACTTGCTAATTTTACCTAGGTGAACCTGCTTTCTTTAATCTGTTGCTGAGAAACTTGGTACTTTGAAAAGTGTTGTTCTCTTTCACTGTCCTATACAGAGAGTGATAATATAAAGATAAAGTATAAAGCTATATGTTTGAAAATGTCTTAAATTTCCATGTCTTGTCAAGTTGTTTCTGAGTAATGGTGATTCTAAGGCAAGCCTATCCTGTGGTATTCTTGACCAATTTGTCCAGATGAGGGTTACTTTTTCCTTCTTTTGAGGCTGATGGGCAGCAACTTGCTCAAAGATTGCCCAGTGGTGTCTGTGGCCAAGTGTAAATTTGAACTCCAAAGGTGTAAGTCCAGTGTTCAAACTGCTACACTGCTCTGGATCTCACTATAGAGTAATACTGATGCCTAATGAAAAGTTGATATGCAGTAAGGGTACAGGAATGTGAATGGACAACAAAGATGCTATACATGTAATTTGTGTGCATCATGGATCACTTTTATTAAAGTAATATTAACTAAACAAGATTCTGTTTCATTGAATATATACTTTGCATTTCAGGACTTGGTGGCACCTGTGTAAATGTTGGCTGCATTCCTAAAAAGCTGATGCATCAGGCAGCCCTTTTAGGTCAAGCCTTGCAAGATTCAAGGAAGTTTGGCTGGGAATATGATGAGCAAGGTTTGTAAAAATATTCATTGATAAGGAGAGGAATGACTTGATGTGTTTTTCAAGCTTGGGAGCAAAGCCCTGTAACTGATAAAATTAGATAAGCAGTTTGTATCTCTTAAAGGAAACACTGTCTTTCTCCCTCCACCCTTTCTTCACAGCCTTAGGACTGTGACTGCTTCCATGTTATTTTTATTTGTCATATTTAATGAAGAGCAGGAAACCTAGGCAATGAAATGTCAGATTTTTAAAAGTGTATCCAATTGTTTTTTATTGCCAGTAGTTTTTTTTAAAAAAAAAATGTTGACAATCATTAAGGTTCAAGTGAGATTATTTTAAATTGTCTGGGTTTGCTATATTGTTTTCAGATGTAACCAGTTGGAACAAATAAACAGTTCTACAATTGTGTCTTATTTCTCACATAGTTAAACACAACTGGGAGACCATGGTTGAAGCGATTCAGAATTATATAGGATCCTTGAACTGGGGTTATCGGGTGGCCTTGCGCGAGAAGACTGTAACATACCTCAACGCTTATGGGGAGTTTGTTGGGCCACACAAAATCAAGGTAACTACAGAGTATTGCTCTCATTAACCTTTAGTCTTCTTAAAGGCTTTGCTTGCATAACACAGCCCAACCTCTTCCTGGGGTTGTTTGGGATGCTGATTCCAAAAACTGCATTGGATTGATTGCATCAGCTCTAATTTCTTAAATATGGTTAACATGGTTTTCTAGGGGCGAGCTGATGGTGATTGGTGTGATGCATTGTTCTGTATCTCAAAACCTAGATGTGATAGGAGAAAACTGATGCCATTTTTGGAATCGCAGGTCAAATATACTCAGAAATAGGATTAACTTTTGAAGCACCAAAATGTGTGTTTAGACTGATACTTTATACAAACTATTAGTTAAATGCCTCAAAGTAATAAATAAACAGGAGGGACTGGCAACATCCAGTGATTAAGATGTGGATTTGGAAGAATCACATGGTTTTATTTCTGAAATGAACATGTATCAGTAAAAATACTTGAATGGCATTGGTCAGGCAAAGAAAAGGGGGATACAAATTGAGTATTCCTTATCTGAAATGCTTAGGACAGTTATGTTTCGGGTTTTGCATTGTTGGAATGCCTATTGTTGCACATATGTACATAATGAGGTATCTTTTAAGATGCAGCCCAACTCTAAACACTTAATTCATGTATATTCCATATATATCTTATACATTTAGACTTAAGGTAGTTTCATACACATTGTTTTAATGTTTTTGTGTATGAAACAAAGCTTATGTACATTGAACGCATCAGAATGCAAAAAGTGTCACTATCTGTGACCTATCCAAACTATTTTGGATTTGACACATTTCAGAATTCCAGATAAAGATTGTTCAACCTTTCCTACAGACGCATTAGTACTTATATGGAAGACAGACGCAGAAGAAATTAAATGCATGTATATGCCTCATATCAAGTTGTTTACAAAATAACTCACAAAGAAATAATACATTGAACCAGATTATATTGTATGCATATGTAGTTTATATACATACACACACGCACACACACACATATATATATATAATACCACCAGGCAGAGAATGTAAAGCCCTTAGTTTAGATAACATAAATTGTTTATAGTTTGTAGTTAACGTGTTTTGATATTTAGGATGTAGCAGTATTATTCTAGAAAAAAGCATTTTAAATCTTTTGTTGTTGATGTTTTGCAAGCAAGCAAAGCCCTGTGGAAACAACTGTCACAATGCTAACCCCTCCATTGGGAAAATAGCTTAGAAAGAAGTTGTTGATGATGATGTTTTGTTTGTTGTTGTTGTTGTTTTGTATGATTGTATGTAGGTTTTGTTGTATTCTGTCTAAATAAAAAATTTAATAGATGTTTTTTGCATGCATGTAAATACTCTGTGAATACTTAGCAAAGCAATTTGAAAATCAACATGGGGGGATTCCAAGACACTGTTTCCCCAATGGTTGTCTGGAACAGATATTTCTTATTGGGCTGTGTGAAGATCCCTTACCTTGCCAGCTGGGGGTGGCAGGGCCCAGGAAGAGACAGGCTAGGTGGTTTCGGCTTGGAAGGCCTGGCAGAGAGCTGCAGGAGCCATCTTAGTTTAGGGAAGATTCCAGTTCAGAGAGGGGGAGTGGCCTAGGCCTGAGCCAGCCCAGCAACGGCCAGGATTGGTTTGGAAAAGGGGGGCGGAGTTAGCCAGTTGGAGGGAAAGAGAGCAGCTTATTTTGACAGTTCAGTTCAGTTCTGGGTGATGTTAGAGTAGGATTAGAGTTTTAGGAGTCTCTGTTAGGAAATAGGCAGCTTGCCTGTAGTTTGCACAGCAAAGTAGGCTGTGGCAGACTGGTTTCAGCTATTTTAGAGGAGAAATAGCTGGGTTTTGTTTAGGAATTGTAACAAAGAATAGAACCATTCTCTCAAAGCAACCGTTACGCTACTAAGAACCAAGAGCACTTTGATTGTAACAGCCAAGCCTTTTGAACCTGCATTCACTTTTATTCTGTAACTTGTATTCAATAAACTCTTTCTTGTTATTTTTAAAATTTAAGCCTGAGTCAAGTGCCATTTGTGTTTTGAGTCCCTTTCATTTTTGAATCAACCTCTCCTGTTTCCCCTCAAAGAAGCCCTTGGTAATAAACAGTACTTGGTGGTCCTAGAAGTGTTTTTAAAAAGCCTTTTAACATTCTAAATAGCTAGAGGGTTCCTGATTCTTCAGTTTATGGTGGCAGCGAAGGTTTTAATAAAGAGACATCCCCTCAAACGCTATAAGTGCCAAAGTGGTGTGAATTCATTATTAAAGGAAGGACAGTGTTGGGATCTGTTTGGCCCCTGTCCAGTCATTTTGTTTAGCCATAAAGACTGCCTTTATGATTAGGGGTAGATGGTGGGATTGATCGCTTTGCCATCTGCCTGGTTATTATAATTGGTGTGTCAAATGGTGGGTTTGCTTTGCCCCCTGCCCAAATAGCATAAAGGAGTTTTTATAATTTGGTGGCAGCGGTGGGATTCCTTGCCCCCCTGCCAATCGGACATCGAGCGTATATTTTTATAGGCTGCAGTTAGAAATTCCCATCATAAAGGTGAAAAATAAGCCAAGAAATATGGTGCTGGCAATATCTTATGGAAAGCACATTGACTTTTTGAAAATATCTATTTAATGTAATTCTTTTGTTTACTAGGCAACCAATAGGAAAGGACAAGAAACTTTCTACACAGCTCAGACATATGTTATTGCTACGGGAGAAAGACCTCGATATTTAGGTATTCCAGGAGACAAAGAATACTGTATTACAAGGTGAGCTGAAATGTAAAGGTTTGCCAATAAATTACAACAGTATTCTGAATTCATAAAAAAGTATTATTTGTACTAATATTTTTGTTTTTGTTTTCAGTGATGACCTCTTTTCCCTGCCCTATTGTCCTGGGAAGACACTGATTGTGGGGGCTTCTTATGTAGCTCTGGAGTGTGCAGGATTCCTTGCTGGCCTTGGTTTAGATGTCACTGTTATGGTTCGCTCCATCCTTCTTCGTGGCTTTGATCAAGAAATGGCAGAGAGGGCAGGGGCTTACATGGAGACTCACGGTGTAAAATTCATCAGGAAGTTCGTTCCTATTGAGGTAAGGATCTTCATTTCTTAAGTCAGTGAGAAAAACAATGATGCCTGGCATTTTTTCTGTAGAATACTGAGCAATACTGCATAAAGATGTAAATGTTGTGGGGTGATTCACCAAGGCAAATGTGAATGTAAAGGTGAAAAACCTGTCAGGAATACTCTTGTGGCATGAAATAAAATATCTGTCCTCATGATCATTCACACAGGTCATAAAGTTGGAAGACGGCATGCCTGGAAGACTCAAAGTGGTTGCGCAGTCCACAATTGGGCCAGACATGATCGAAGGAGAATACAATACTGTAAGGAGAAAACAATACTTGTATATTTGTGTGAATAGTAAACCAGTTTTGTTGAATGGCAACCTTTAAAAGCCTGAAGCGATATCAATACAAATACATTTGCGCTCCCTTTGGTCTTCATATTTGCATTTTCCAAGTCATGGTATAGAAGTGTTAGCTGAGATACATTTTTGATAACTTTGAAATTATTTAATAGCTAAATTTATGAAAAAAACATTGCTTGAGATAATCTTTTCACACAAGGCTGTCCAGTTATATATTATTCATTTTGTGCAGGTTTTGATAGCTGTGGGTCGTGATGCTTGCACCAGGAATATTGGCCTGGACAAAATTGGTGTGAATATTAATCCAAAGTGAGTATTCTAAGGCTTTGTTTTCTCCCAAAATCCACTGATATTTTTATGGATGTTTACCTCGATGGTTAACAGATCATTCCTGTCGTTTTGCCCCCATAAATGCACATGATTTTCAGAAGTCAGTTGAAAAACTTTTAAAAATTAACAAGTGGAATTCTAAATATTGAGAATGATTGTCTTAAGCATTGCTATCAATTTGAATTTTAAATTAGTTTTTTGTCTGTAAACACTTGCACTTCACTAGCATCTATGCTTAAGATTCAACACCGTTCCTTTTTCTGAAAATTCTTCAATGGCTTAACTGATTGAAACTGGCATTCTGAACTAATAAGGAAGGGGTGTCATCTTTTTGGATTAAATTGTCATTTGAAATTGCTTGGAGGAACATTTGAATTGCATCCAGCATTGTTCTTTAGGCAGTGATATGTGTTGGACTGTGTGAAGCTGCCATTATAAAGATAAATCTAGTTTATTACAGGCCACGAGCTTTATGGTACAGTTTCCAATGGAAGACCATAGAGTCATGCTGGAGGATGTAGAAAAGTGTTCTGCCACATAAAACAATACTTTATTGAGATTTATGTGATACCAGCAATAGATAAATACACAAAAATAGTTTTTATCCATGATTTTTCACTTTCACAGGGGTCTGTGCCCATCTCTAGTGCAGATATCCTCAAACTGTGACCCTCCAGCTGTTTGGACCTCCAACTCCCAGACGCCTTAACAAGCTTCTTCAATTGTCAGGAATTCTGGGAGTTAAAGGCCCAAACAGCTTGAGGGCCACAGTTTGAGGATGCCTGCTCTAGTGGGTGTGAAGGTCTGAGTATACTTTTTAGATAGAAAATGCTGTAATATAAAGCTATAATGCTGGAATAATTTTTTACTTCCTTAAAAAGGAATGGAAAAATACCTGTAAGTGATGAGGAGCAAACCAATGTGCCTTACGTCTATGCTGTTGGAGATGTTTTGGAAGGAAAACTTGAACTTACACCAGTTGCCATACAGGCAGGCAAACTTTTGGCCCGCAGACTTTTTGGAGGAAGCTCCATAAAGGTAAATCTTTTTTTTTTAAAGTTTGAATATATATTCATTGATTTTAACTGATTTTAATATCCATTATATTTAATTCTGTTTTAATGATTATATATTTGTAGATTTTAAATTGTATTGAAATGTTTTTAATGCATCTCCTTGTGGAGAGAAAAAGAAGGGTATAAATAAACATAGTAGTAGTAGTAGTAGTAGCAGTAGTAGTAATATAAATCTATACTTCTTGATATTGGCAGCTGTACATTTGGACAAAGAATTGGGTTAGGTTACAAAATTGTGTTTTGTTATGATTGAGAGTTGGGTTTTTTAAATTTTTCTTTTCATCTGGTTAAAGTGCTCAAACATGTTTTTTTTTCAAAATTTGAAATTAATGCTATGATATTATGTTATAGCTAGTCAAGACTTATGAGCAATTGCTAGACTCAACTACTTCTATGCTTGGGTTCAGGAGTTCAGTGAAAGATAGGGCTAATATTGTGATGATACAACAACAGTCACAATAGCATTGGTGACCATCACTTGTTCACAAGAAAGATTAGAATTACTGCACAGGATGGAAATTAATGACAGGAGAGCAGTGGTATAATGGCAGTAACAAGTCCCAGGCATCCTTGGGGTTGCTGTGGTTGGTTTGAAATATTAAGCTTACATGTCTGTGTACATGTGTCCTTTCAAGAAGCACTGCTTTTTTGTTGAAGCGTATATCCTTGTTTGTGCTTTCAATTTTAGTGTGACTACATCAATGTGCCAACTACAGTGTTCACACCCCTGGAATATGGATGCTGTGGTTTACCAGAGGAACGGGCTATTGAACAACTTGGGCAAGAAAACGTAGAGGTGAGATAAATTTCAAGCTAGCCATGTGTACTTATGCATATAGTGTGTGAGGTGTACATGTTCAGCCACATCATGCTTTCTAACTTTTTCCTTTAGATGAATTATACATGTGTTACCAATAACTGGTATGTCATTTTCCCTTTTGAGAAGCACTAAGCACCAGAAAGCTGAAGGACTTGTGTCCTTTCACTCCTGTTATTTCCATTTTTGAAAAAGCAGTTCCCCTCATTGCAAGAAATGTATTTTCCTAGCCATGCTCTTTTAGGAATTAATTCATAGAAGCATAGAGTTGGAAGAGACCATATGGGCCATCCAGTCCAGCCCTGTGTTTAGGACTGCTGGTTAATCTACGTGTATTGGATGGCTGCTGTGATACATCTTAAATGAAGCACCATTGTTAGCCATTTTTAATGTAATGTCTCATAATTTGTTTTTAGGGTATAGATAGTAATGTTTATTTATGTTTTAGTCTTTATGTCTTAATGGGTTGTTCTGTATTAATTTGATTTGTTCTACTGCTGAACAACTTTTACAGCTAGGAAGTTATTGCTAATGTTCGGGTGGAATCTCCTTTCCTGTAATTTGAATCCATTGTTCCGAGTCCCTAATGACATGCTACCCTGCTTGGGATATTTCTTGGCAACATAAATGAGAAAATGCTTTGATTTTTTTTACTTGCTGAGAGACAGTATACTATTCCTTGAAGGACAGTTTGACCTCCCCTTTGATGTCCATTTTCACTTACCCATGATCCAAAAAATATTCTCCCTCCCCAAGATCTTTATGGACCTCTCTAGGTCCTCCAGTATGATTCTATGAAATGTTTCTGATTCAAATATAGTTGTAATATAGTGTTAGCTATTATTCATGGTTTCAGGTATCTATGACAGGTCATCTAATGTATCTGCCTGAAGACACAGGGATTTTACTGTATTCTAAAATAAATCTTTACTGTTCCTAAGAACAGAATATATCTGTTCAACTGTTAATGAAATACCTCTTTTAAAATTTTACATAAGGTTATTCCTGCCCTAGTTTGAAAATGTCAGTCTCTTCAAGCTTCTCTGAACAATGGGTATACCCAAAGAGTACATATGGGAAATGGTGCTGGAGCTGTAACCTCCACTTATTCCATATTGTAATAAGTTTTTTTAAAAAAAGATATGGATTCATGTTACAGATTTTTGATTATAATGTTGGACATATATGAAAATCCCCGACATTATGGTCCATATTTATCTAAATATTTTTAGCCAACTGAAAAGTGTGTTTTAACTAAAAGACGTAATAAAATATAGTGCTATGTGTTGCTTAACTCCTATTTTTAGTTTAAGATTATTGGAAGCCTAAGGGCTTCCAATAAAGATGTGTGAAGATTTTTTTGCTAATTACCAGCTTTAATTTCTTTTCTAGGTATATCACAATCTATTTTGGCCGCTTGAATGGACAATACCTAACAGAGACAACAATACCTGCTATGGAAAAGTTATCTGCAATAAGCTTGACAATGTATGTATTTTGATCTAAACATTTCCACCCTAATTTGCTTTAACAATCTAAACTCTGACAACAAGTATATATAGCTCTATTACATGTATTCGTATATGTACGTCAGGAGGCAAGCATCACTGTATCATATTAAAACCAGGAATAAAGCTTAGTTTCTGAAGCTTGGTTAAGAGGTGTGGACAGATTCCGATCTTATGTCTTTTCCATCCTCTAATTTTTATTTGTGGTTTCAAAGCATTTTACTTCCTGCTTTCCACACATACCCTGATCATGTAATGTGTGGGAACCTATGCTCAGGAAAGCGAACTTTTCACTTAATAGAGCCTTGCTGTCTTTCCATTAATTAACTGAAAATTCATTTTAAGCTTCAATTTCTGCTAATCAGTTTGTCATAAAAGCAAATCTCAACAGGTCTCGTGTGTGTGTGTGTGTGTGTGTGTGTGTGTGTGTGTGTATGTGTGTGTGTATGTGTCGATTTTTTTGCTCCTGGAACAAAACCATGTTAATATTAATTCAGTCTAGATATTTTCAGCTGTTCACATAATAAGTTAAGACAAATAAATAAAATGAACATGTTGTTGGCTTCACCCAAGTTAAGTGTTGCCGGGGTGTGTGTTTGAAATAAATAAAAAAATAGAAGTTCCTGAAAGCAGCTGCCTACAGTGGAAAGGAATATTTTAACTGGTCTGTTTTTTATTTGTTCTCCAACCCCAATTCCTTTTAAACAAAGAACCGTGTAATAGGACTTCATGTTCTTGGACCTAATGCTGGGGAGATTACCCAAGGTTTTGGTGCAGCGATGAAATGTGGCATCACCAAGGCGATACTTGATGAAACAATCGGCATACATCCAACATGTGCAGAGGTAATAATAACTGCATTTTCCTGAAAATTTTGTAATCTGCACTGCCTGTTTTGATGCATCTGGAAATGATTTGCCTCTTCGTCTTGATGTCCTAAATATCAATTTAAACAGGCACCCATGTCCTATTACAATTGCATCTTGCAGTGCTCATTTCCTCCTGCTCCCCCCTTTAATATATTTGTTTAAAATTGTCTAGAGCATGGGGTCTCCTTAGTTCAGTGGTTCCCCACCTTATTTTGATCAGGGACTACTCTCCAACATTAGTATCAAAAGGATTATGAATCGGTTTTTGGGCAACTTTAGATTCAGTTTAGTTATTTGAGGTGCTGATTTAGAAAATTGTATTGGACAGACCACATCAGCTCTTGTTTCTGATATAGAACATATGCAACCCAGTAGTAGTCAGCTGCTTGCCCACAGAAAACCATATTTAATAATCTAGAGCTGAAGTGATAGTTGTAATCTTTCGTGGGCAGTCAGCCTCTCCCCTCCGAACATACCCGGTGCCTCAGCACTATAAGAGGGTTTTGCCAGACAAGTTGCTCTCTTTGCGTGTGGTTTTGAGGTAATGGTGTAGTAATGGTGAGGCCTCAGACCTTATTTTCATTCTTGCGGACCACTGGTGGTCCATGGACCACAAGTTGGGAACCACTACCTTAGCTCAATGTTGGGGTCTCAGAAAATTTGGCAGTGATAGACCTTGCAGAAAATGCTTCATCTGTATTTCATAAAAAAGGGAAATTGGACTGTTTAGCAAGCCTTGATTGATTTATTTTCAGTCAGTGTTTGATTTTACACCTATTCTGTATATCTCTGGACCCTGGGTCGTGTAAAATTTACTTGAGTGGAAAGGGGGTCTGGAGCATCTGTATAATTTGAAAGTATAGTAGTTGAAGACACATGGTTCCCATTTAGCAAGAAATCCTTCATTGGACAAACTTTAATGTTTTGGAACCATGCTTTTAAGTGCCAAGACCCCACCACTTTGTTTTGATTCTCCCCCTTCTCCTTCTCTTACAAAGTGTTAGACAGATTCTCATTGTTGGGCTTTAGTTCCAGTCATGCAGATAGAATGGTATTATTGGATTTGTAGATTTTGAAAAGTAAGGATCTTTAAAATAATTGTTTCATTCTTTTTCAGGTGTTCACTACGATGGATATTACAAGAGCCTCAGGGAAAGATATTGCTCAAAGTGGCTGCTGAGGTTAAACCCTGCTGTTTTAATTGTTTCCTTTTGCTCCACTTACCTATATTGAGAGTTTTAAGATGCACACAAACACATGTGGGTGAAGAAATATCAGACAGCAGTAGAGTGCATTTCTGAAACTTGTCTTAAAGGTAGTGGGTGTCTACAGGAAGCAATTTAAAACAGCAGGGTTAACTTTCATCTTGACTTTCTTAGAAGGGCACATAAGTGTATTTTTGAAGTTTTGGCTCTGAACCCCAATTGGAGGCGAGTCATGACGGATGACTTCTATGTAAAGTTGGGAAAACCAATTCGTCCAAGTCAAACAAGTAGATTCCTCTCGAGGAACCTCTTCAGTTGCACAAGTGAAGTTTAATATTCTTTGTTTTAGTGCTTTTGTATGAATGTATCAGGAACAGCTGAAGGCTTAGTTGGTAACTTTTGCTAGCAGCTCCTCTCAACTACCGTCAATCAACAGTATGTTTTATCTGTTGTTGACATGAATGATGAGGTCTGTTTGCAGTGTTTATAAATATCTCTCTTTAAATTGGCATAAATTTGAAAATAAGCAAACAAAGTTTAAAGCATTTTTCTTTATATGCCTCAGAGCTCACGTGATACATAATGGGGTAGTTTTGTTTAATGTGCTATCTGTTTAGTCGCCAGAAGAAAACTGTCATCCTGAGACATTCAATTACCAATTTTTACAGATTTTTGTGGCCTAGATTATTTTAGCAGAAAAAGATGCAAAATGTCTTTTTTCTTAAGTGATTGACTATCATCTCCAAATTTCTCTCAAAATTTTCACAAGTGAAAAAAATATCCCAAGTTAAATTGGAATAAGTTCACAGTAACTTAATCTTGTTCCCATTTATATACCATAACTAAATTATTTTCATCCATAAAATCAAATGCATTTGGTTTAGATCACGTGTGCAAGTACTTTGCTTGATTATCCACAAGCATCCATTCATTTTGCTTTGTAAAATTCCTAGTACCATGAATCCTTCTGGACAGTCCATTTACTTTGAAGTATTTTGGTTGGATTTAGTTTGTTTTGTCTAAATATGTGTTCTGAAATGCTTTTTCAAAAGCTGTATCATATAAACAGTTTTTTTTAACTATTTATGACGCATCATGGAATTTAAAGTTCAATAAAAGAGTAATTGTCACATGATATACAGTATCGCATTCTTAAGAAAAATGAATCTTTCACTACTGGAATATATTTTGACACTCTACAAGTGAAGAGAACCAGATCGGTGGTTTACTATACATTCTCCTCTTTTTCTTATACTCTCATTCTTTATTATTATTATTATTATTAATATTATTACTTTATTTGTACCCCGCTAGCACTCGATGCGTCTTACACAGGCCGAGGCCTCAAAACACAGTACAACAATACAATACCTAAAGCAAATTAAAAACAGTTAAGCAGAATAAACAATAACAATACATCAAGACACTATAAAACTGGGCCGGCCAGGGTAGTGGGTACAGGATTAAAAGTGCTGATGTGGCAGGAGGAATGTAGGATTATAAAGTAAGTGCAGTGTGCGGTGTGCAATGATCTTAGTTCTACTAAAGTGCTTCTGGACTTGGTATTGGAGGTTCCTAATCTGAGAAGGCACATCGGAACAGCCAGGTCTTCAAGTTCTTTCTGAAGATTGCCAATGTAGGGGCCTGTCTAAGATCTTTTGGGAGGGCGTTCCAAAGTCACCACAGAAAAGGCCCTGTCTCGAGTCCCCACCAAGTGCGCTTGCGACGCAGGCGGGATCACGAGCAGGGCCTCTCCAGATGACCGAAGTGAATGTGTGGGTTCGTAGACGGAAATGTGGTCACGCAGGTAGGGTGGTCCCAAACCGTTCAAGGCTTTGTAGGTAAGCACCTGCACCTTAAATTGGGCTCAGAAAATAAACGGCAGCCAGTGGAGCTCCTTAAACAGATCGTGATTTTGTTGATGTTTATTGTTTCTAAATGCCGGCTAAGATCTTTTGGCACGGCACCCAGTGTGCCGATGACCACTGGGACCACCTGTACTGGTTTATGCCAGAGCCTTTGCAGTTCAATTTTGAGGTCTTGATAGTGGCTGAGTTTTTCCTGTTGTTTTTCCTCAATGCTACTGTTACCTGGTATGGCAACATCAATAATCCAAACTTTTTTCTTTTCTACAATCGTGATGCCTGGTGTATTATGTTCCAAAATTATTATTATTATTAATTATTATTATTATTATTCACAGACTGATGGCCATCTGTCGAGGGTGCTTTGATGGTGTTTACACTGTTTTTGTTCCTGGGTTATAAATGTCATTTCCTAATTGGTCCTATCATAAAAACATGGTTAAGATTTATTAAACTGCAAAAACTTTGTCTTTGCATAAAGAATATTTTGTTATAGCACATTTTGCTATCCAGTCCACCAATTTAAAATCTTCATCCACCCATTTAACAAAGTTTTTGGTGCAAAAACAAAGTTCCCAGTGTAGAACCACTAATTTATTTATCCTATTTATACCCTACCTTTCTCTACCCCAAGGGGGACACAAAGTAAGGACTACACAATTAAACAGGAAATAATATTTTCAAACTAGGAACATATTTTCTTTATTATTTAAAAAAATGTTCATAAAAACTTTGAGAATTCCCCAAAAATCAACTTGTGGATAAGTGAAACATTCTGAAATTTGGTAGGCTAAGAGTGATAAATGTATTCTATCACTGTAGCAAGTTTCACCCCAATAGCTGTAAAACTGAGGGAGAAAAGAGCCACTGAAGTTTCCCCAATTATAGTAATTAAGCGCAATCACTATAACGAAATAGTAACTAAATTTACTCATAACGAATTTTCAGTATACTTTAGAAACATTTTAGAAATGAAACGCCAATCCCCCCCCCCCCCCCCCCCCCCCGGGTTTTGTAATGATTTTGAACCATTCTTTTAATAGATCACACATTAAGGTCAATACAACCATCAGAGTTACAGTTGCCTACCTCTACCCTGAACCATAGTCTAAAAGGTTTTACATTCACATCTTATTTCGCAGTTAAAGATTTTTTTTCTGAAGTGGCTGGCTAGGGGAAGCGTGATTAGGTTTATTAACAAGCTGCCAGCCACAGAGGGCAAGGCTGGAAAATCTGCTGGGCTCTTTCTGAGAAAATGTTCCTGGGAAGAGGAAGAGCAGCATCTGACTTAGCAAATGTCCTGTTGCCTTGGTGAGAGGCAGTATGGGAGCAGGTTGCCCCAAGCCAGTCCAAACAAATTGCACAGATTCTCTGGGATTAAAGTGGGTGAGTTGGATTAAACCTCTAATGGCCCAGAGCTAGGGGATAGGATCTGACTGAACTGCTAGGAAAAAATAGGACAACTGCTGAAGATGTAAGGCAGCCCTCAGGCCACCAGCACTGATAAATTGTTCCGTCCCAGCTTACCTGTCCGAACGTATCTCTCCTTATGAACCATCCAGGAATTTAAGATCATCTGGGGAGGCCCTGCTCTTGATCTCGCCTTCCTTGCAGGCGCGCTTGGCGGGGATGAGACAGGGCCTTCTCTGTGGTGGCCCCTTGGCTTTGGAACTCCCTTCCCAGGAATATTAGATCAGCCCCCTCCCTCTTGATCTTTCGGAAAAGAGTGAAAACCTGGCTCTTTGAGCAAGCCTTCGGAAACATGGTGTAATTGGACTAATAATAATAATAAAACTTTATTTATACCCCACGACCCTCTCCCCAATGGGGACTCGGGGTGGCTAACATGAGGCCAAGCCCAACAATTACAACAAATCAAAATGAAATACAGCATCAAATGAAATATAAACAGCAAATTAATACAAAATCAAATACAGGACATGTAATAAAATAATAAAAATATGCACAGCAGGCTGGGCCACATTAAGAGGGTAGAATTAAAATATAAATATAAAAATCCTGGGTGAGATGGATGAATAGGGTAGTGTATCTGGCGGGGGTATTTTAGTTGGGAACAGCAATGGGGTGAACATCCTTGAAGGATGAGATGAGATAAAGTGCATCAGTGGATATATAGTGCTGAGGGGATGTAGGGATTGTATTCATTCCTCAAGGACACACTGAAACAGCGTGCTCTTAAGGCTGCCAGGGTGGGTGCTTGCCTAATCTCTCCGGGTAGTGAATTCCAAAGCTGAGGGGCCACCACAGAGAAGGTTTTCTCTCTCATCCCCACAAGTCGCACTTGCGACAGAGGGGGAAGTGAGAGGAGGGCTTCCCCAGAAGATCGAAAGGATTGTGCAGGTTCATAGAAGGAAATATGGTCACAAAGGTAGGCAGGTCCCAAACCGTTCAGGGCTTTGTAGGTGATAACCTGCATCTTGAATTGGGCCTGGAAAATGATGAAATAATGAACATGGAATGGCTTAGCCGATGTAAATCGATAAGGAGTTGAACTGGTAGACAGTGATTATTATAGTTTTAAGTGGTTTTATATCAATTTTTATTGTGTGATATTAACTGTTTTTAATTGCTGTGTATGTATGTATGTTGTGGCATTTAATTGTCGACAATCTGCACGCCGCCCTGAGTTGCCTTCAGACTGAAAAGGGTGGAATAAAATGCAGCAAATAAATAAATAAAACCACCTGGCAGGATATGGGATTGCTACCAGGAACAGGGATTGTTATCAATGTGGTTGGGGACAGCAGCGAGTCTTATGTACATTTATCTCAATTGGGCCCAGATCTGTATGCACTTAAGCTAGTAAAGATCCGGACTCACCCAAAGCACATCCTTGCACCTGTGCAAGTCCTCAGTGACTCTGAACCACAGCTCACTAATAACACCCAATTTAAGACCAGTGTGCATGATTCCAGCAGATTTGCTTGCCTCTCTTAGGATGTTGACCCCGAAGCAGTTTCCGACTACTGGTTAGCAAGTAGACCTGATTCTACCATAATTAACTACACCCAATCCATAAGAAAAGAATACTGGAAACAAGTTCCTCCATTTACTTGTTCCAACCTTATCCTGATACATTGGGCAGCTACATCCAGGAATCTATGAAGCAACAGGATCATAGTTCTCTTCCAGAAGGTCTTTCTGTTTAGTTGCAATTGTAGGTCCTATAAACTCAGGAGTAATGGAAGTATTGATCATGACTACAGGGCATAGGAAGTGGGTACCATATGACCCTCAGAATGGAGCAGGTCATTCCACCTTGCACTTAAGATGTATGATTTCTCTGGGTTTGGATACAAGATCAAACCCAGATGTAGTAATAGCTACTCGTGAAGGTCCACTTAAATCAGCAGGACCTGGCTATTGAATTCAATGGGTCTGGTGTAGCTATGGCTAAATCTGGATGAAACCTATAATGCATAGCCATGGTTAGTTAAAAGCAGAAGTAAAAGGTGCCTTTATGACCTCATCAGAGGAAAGGGGTGGGCATGGGAGGGTAGGCAGTTGAATTGAGAAGAGTGCCTTCAGCACAAACTTAAGCAGTTAAATTTGTTTCATGATGAACATGATATTGATGTATTTACCTTAAGTGTTAATGGGTTTACAAGTCATCAAGTAGAACCTGATGTTTCTTGCTTGGGTTCTGACATTCAATATACAGAGATGAAAACATCAAACACTGGAGTGCCTTCAAGAGTTACAGAAGCAGTTTTAGCTGTGGAAAGTAACATGAAACCCATAATTTAAAAAAAGCTCTTAATACTGCCACTGTTTTGCGGTCACTTGAAACCTCACATTCCTCACATCTTTAAAGTAGCATAAGTGTTCAAAACCTTTAATGCTGGGGTGGAAATCATGTGGCTTTCCAGAAGTAGTTGGACTGCGTCTCCCAACATTCCTCATCTTTGGCAATCCTGCCTCAGGCTGATGAGGGTTGCAGTTCAAGAAAACCAAGGAGCAGAGAATTCCAATTTAACGCCTTGATATAATGATAGTAACAAAGTACTGTAACAAAAAGTGGTGATACATATTATTGAAACAAAGTATGGACGCTAGCCTCATACAAGCCAAATAGCTCTTTGTCACTTTGGTTTCAGCCTACATTAGATTAACAAGTTATTCGGGAAATCCAGTGTTATTGCAGAAGTCTACTCAGAAAGGGCTGTTGACGTGGAGAAAGGAAAGGGTAGACAAGCTCTCCAGATAGTTATTGATGCCTCAGAAAAAAAGATACTTTCATGAAATAATC